TATATATATATATATATATATATATATATATATATACGCGTATGCATATACATATATATATATATATTTATATATACGCATATATATGTATATCTATATAAGTTTATATGTCTTGTTTTTAGTTTATAATAACCGCAATAAGAAATTACCTTACAGCTTTCGTTGCTTGTGTAAACAGCTGCATGAAAAAAGAGAAGAGATTAAATATATCTTCAACTAGACATATATATATATATATGTATATTTAATAAACATATATAAATATATATATTTATGTATATATATATATGTATATATACATATATATTTCATTTGCTTTTCTAATACACTGAAGCGTCTAGACAGTGCAAACATGTAAAATGCTGTGTGCATAAATAAATTAAAAGAATAAACAAATAAATAAATAAATAAATAAAAAGAAAATATATTCAAAGAAGAGGGGTGCCGTTGCATTTGTTTTCAATTTGATGTATTATTTTCTTTAATTGAAACTCGTATTATTTATTATTATTATTATTATTATATTTATATTTATTTTAATTATATTTACTTTATTCTACTTCTACTTCTACGTCTAACTCTTATTCTTATCATTATGCTTCTTTTTCTTGTTATTGTAAGATGTATTGCTATTATACATATTATTAATAATATTATCATTATAAGTATATTATTTATTATTCTTTATTGTCAATATTATTATTATTATTATTATTTTATTATTATTATTATTATTATTATTTGAATTCATCTGCCAGTTGCATGCAGATGCTCCTGCAACAAAAACAACAAAAACACCGCGCTGATGCGTGCAGCTAAAAGGGGTTTTAATTATATTTCTGTTCTTAATATGCATTTGTATACATATATAATATGTAAAATATATTCTGTATAAATAATATATACAATTAATTCATTAGATGAATAATAAAGTTAAGGAAGTTGCAGAGTACAACAAAGAAAGCAATTGATCTTATTACTCTGAAGCAAGAAAGTTATTTTAGATTTATAGTGAAGAGAAGAGAAAAATATGTATTTGCTCTTAGTGTAGCGGCACTTCCTGCCGCAGCCCCACATGCATGCATGCATGCATGCATGCAAAGAGACATAATAGGCCCCTCAACTCCCCTCTTAATGTATGCATGCATGCATTAAATCGAAAGGCAGAACAAAGACATTAAATAGCTGTAAATAGACATGACGGCACAGAGAGGATTGACGTTGTTCTCCCTAAAGTATATATAAAAATTGTTTGATTACGAAGGGAACGAACTGAAGTTTGTCTGGAAAACAAAGGCAGTTTAAGAGCAACGATAGATTGCTTCATGTATTAAAACATATATATATTTATTTTTTATTTATATGCATACTTCTGTGTATGTATTTGAAGCTGGGGGGTAGAGCGCTGCTGTCAGTGCACACGCAAATACTTTCTTCACTTGTACGCTACACTGTTGAGAGATTAAATTGATAACTTTAAATTTAAATAAAGTTAAAAGAATAAATGAGATAAAAGAGAGCAGAAGCGGACTAAATAAAAAGAAATACGTACAGCAACATAACATACCACAGAGAATTTTACTTAGATGATTATATACACCTCATAGCGTATACACCTCAGAGGCTAGAATATTTGGATATTTTTCGTAATATTATTACATTATTATTATTAAAAGAAAAGATATTGTATTGAGAAATTTAAAAGAAGAAGTTTCTGCTTTTTGATGATAGTCGTGAGAAAGCAACATGAATTGAATTCACCGGGTGTACGCACACCTGGCTCGAAGTCTGCATGAAGGGGGTATGCAGATTTCGAGGGGAAAGCGTCTTTATATTTGATTCTTTGTTTGTTTTCGTGACTTCTTCCTGCTTTCCTTTGAAATATTTCATTTATTTTCAACTTCTACTCCAAGCAGAAGCAGAAGATTTACTTGCTTACTTCCGCTGCACCCGGTGAGCCGCCACATCGCCTGCGTGTACTTCGCCGAATATTTCTGCGTTTTCAACGCCAAAAGTATTCAAATATTGCACTTCATGCTATAAAAATGACTATTTACCGCTAAAATGAGCAAATTGCCTGACTTTACCTGCGTGTACACCTGGATCTCCTGCGGTAGAACAGGACATCGCGTTTCCTCTATGTGTATTCCAATAATGCTATAACTATAAATAAATACATTAATGTTAACACATTTGCTGCTTTTCTTCTTTCTATAGACGTGTATTAGTATTATTCATCATTGCTTCTACTTTATTATTCCTTGGGTTCCTCGTTCAAGTTTCTCGTTCATGTTTCTGTATGCATCCTTCTTGCAAGTTGAACGGCGTGTTGATATTGTTTTATATTCTTCATTATTTTATTTATATTAATTGATATTTTTTGTTTTTTTCGTTTAGAGAAGATGGACGGGTCAGGAAGCCCTCTTCAATCTCCCTTTGAAGCGCTGTACGCCGAGCTGTGCAACTCCTTCAATCGTTTCGATGAGATGATGCAACAGGGCCCCTTTGGTTCTTTTGGCTTCATGCGCCCCCCTTCATTTCCTTCTCTTCAGCAGGGGGTAGGAGATGCAACCGGGCAGCAGCAGCAGATGCAGCAGCTGCAGCAGCAGGGCTCTGGAGGTCGCCAGCAGCAGATGTGCCCTTGGGGCGGCAACAGCAGCAGCAACAGCAACAGCATGGTGCAGCGAGGGCCTCATGGAAGCAGCGCGAGTTGGTTTACACACAACAGCTGTATTCCTAGAATAGATTTAAAAGATGCAGGAGATAAGTTAGTGCTGCATGCAGATATCCCTGGGATAGATAAAAAAGATGTTAAGGTAGAGGCACATGATGGTAGGTTAGTTATTCAAGCAGCAAGCAACAAAAGTGAAGAGCACAAAGACAGCAACTGGTATATGCAAGAGCGCTGCAGCAGCAACTTCTACAGATCTTTTCAACTACCTGCAAATATACAAGAAGAAGCAATTAAAGCTACATATAACAACGGGGTGCTGGAGGTAAATATACCTAAGACACCTCAAGTACAAACCACACAACCCCCAAGGTCCATCAACGTTGAATAAACCCTAAACCCTAAACCCTAAACCCTAGGGAGGCGCCCTCGAAACCCTGCAGAGACTACTCTTACCAACTGCCCTGGTAGACACGCTAAACCCTAAACCCTAAACCCTCAAGATCATAAATAACTTTATACACCCTATACCTTGCAAACAATGCATTCTATTAACTCTGTTATACCTAACGACATCTCTTCTGCTAAACCCTAAACTGAACTTCATGCTTCAATAACAGAGACAAATAAAAACAATAAACACACCAACACAGTACAAAGTGCAGCAGCAACAGCAGCAGCAGCAGCAGAAACAGGAAGCAGCAAACAGAGCAGCAGCAACCCGTGAACCGCAGGACAAGGGGGAATGTCTCCACGCGAACAACAGCAGCAGCAGCCGCAACTGATGCTGCTGCTGCTGGCAGGCTGGAGCTTGCTGCAGCAGCAGCAGCAGCAGCAGCAGTTGTTTTTCTAGCAAACAGCGCTGCATGCATGCATGCATGCACGCAACGCACCAGGTGTACGTACAGCCCCCGGTGGAGTGAGGCATTCGAGTAAGGGCTGAGATATATATGAATAAATGCATGCAGCAGATATATGAATAAATGCATGCAGCAGGTATATGAATAAATGCATGCAGCAGATATATGAGTAAATGCATGCAGCAGATTAATAAAGAACTGCATGCGGCAGATATACAAGTGAAAGAAATCAATTGAGAGGATAAGTGGTGTTTATTTGGGGTGTATGCACACCTCGCGAGAGAAGACGAAGGAAACCAACATAAAACTATTTGCTCTTTTTTTGCGTTACTTTGGGCATTCTCTAGAAGAATAAAAGAAAATAGATGAAGAAGATAGAACATAGAAAGAGGGGCAGTGAGGGTTTAGGGTTTACCGAGGGTTTAGGGTTTACTGAGGGTTTAGGGTTTGGGTGTGGTTGCTGATCTTCACAATGAGAAGCAGCAGATGAGAGTTTAGGGTTTAGGGTATAGGGTTTAGGGTTTAGGGTTTGACGAAGTAACAGGCGTCTTTCTGTAGGGTTTGAGGTGTATATACACCGCAACCCCTTCAGGAATGCTCTCCTCCGTAGTATACCCCTTTAGCAGAAATTAGATATTAGTAAATGTTTATAAATATCAAACTAATTGAATTGTATTATTATGTATACGATATTATAAAAAGTAGGTTTTAATAAGCTGAAAAAAATTAGTAATATTTTGAGTTTATTGTAAAGATAATATTTTATTTATTATTTTAGTGTACTTTGATTTTCTTATCGTCCCCATAGATTTTACTTACTAAAGTTATTTTCTATGTTCATAGAAGCCAAGGAGTTTTACTATTATTATATCTTTTGTTATTGTACTTACATTTTATTATATTACAAATAATTTGAAAAATGTGTATTCGCTTGCTTGTTCGAATCATTATACTTAACATTACGCATGCTGCTGTTTATTGAATGAAAGTAATCTAAATTAATTAATTTTATAATTTCTTTTTGATTTCCTTTTAACCGCTTGAGGTGTCTGTACGTTGACGTGTGAAATATTCTGCTTGAAGCTGCAATATTTTGTTTTTGTTCTTCAATAAACAAAATAAAGCAATAAATCGAGGGGAAAAGACAAATAAACAAACAAAATAAAATAAATTGTTATTATTAAACAATTAATTAAATTTAAATTAAATTACATACAATGCTGCATCATATTGAATAGGGGGGCCCCCGAACCTGGGGCCCCTGGGGGGCCCCAGGGTCTGCAAAGTTTTATTGTTTGTTTTATTTTGATTTAAAGATGTAAAACCTGAAAATAATTTCTTTTTGTATTTTGTTTTGAATTATTTCTGCTTCGAAGCAAACAAATGTTGGGGGAGTTCCGCTTATGGTGTCCGTACACCTGAAATCGACTTCTTGATTTGCTGTTTTTTTTGTTTTCTTCTCGTTTTTTCTTGTTTTTTTTTTAAATTGATCAGCCCTATCCCTAGAGCTTGATTGTACAATGTATGTGCGCATTCTTTGCCGCTCCATTTGGTGCAATAATGTTTAAAATGCTGCAAGAATCGAACATGAAGAACGGAGCAGCTGCCTATACACCTGAAAAGTTGTAGCTGCCTATACACCTGAGATGCGCGCATTGTTGCTGGCTGCACTGAAGGGGCGTCTGCCTTTAGGTACATTTTCAGTGAATGTTCCGATATGTAAACCATCCAAAAGTATTAATAATACAAATAAAGAAATATATAGAGTTGCAGGAACTCCACAAGAAGGAAAACAAGCAGCTACCCTCTTCTCTGCTTTTGCGCATCATACACTCGGGAATGATACTCTCACGCTGTGTACTATCCTACTTAAAGAAGGCAAGAGAAGAATATTAATTAATTTAACACAAGAAAGATATATATCCCTATATATATGCATCTATATATAGACACATATATGTATATGTATGTATATGTATATATGTATATATATATAATCTTTTATACATACATGCGTATATGTATATATCTTTTTTCTTTCGTTATATATATTATAATATGTAGTATGTGCGCATTATGATATCTGTACACCCTGAGGCAAAAAATATAAATAAACAAAATTAATCTATTATGAAAAAAGTAAAAGAAAACAAATAAAATTGGTTTTGAATTAACTAATTAATTATTCCGCTAGATAGTTAATTAATTAATTAATTAATTAATCAATTAACTAATTTATTCTTTTACTATCTCGTCCATTAGCAAATGAAAAAATTAAGCCCTTAATAAATAAATAACTAACTAATTAATTAACTCTAAATAAATAAATAAATAAATAAATAATAAATTCATTTCCTTAATAATTAATTAATTCGTGTAATAGATAGTCAATAAACCATAAAAAGAAAATTAAATAAATAAATAAATAAATAATTAATTAATTACGTTTAATGCAAACCCCTTTTAAGTTGTTTGCATGCTAATTAATTAGTTATTTAACAAACTGTTTATTTATTTATTTATTTATTCAATAATTGTTTGTTTAATGATATTTTCTTAGGTTCTCTTCATTCAATTCGTCTGCATGCAGCAGTGCTAGGACACCCAGTAGTTGGGGACTGTACGTACACCGCAAACTTTCGCTCATTTGCTGCCTTTCCTGAAGTAAAAATTAATCAAATACTTCAGCAACAACTTATTCAAATCCAGCAGCAATTAAGGAATACACCATACGACATCAAGCAGCAGCAGCAGCAGCAGCAGCAGCAGCAGCAGGTGCAGCAGCAGCAGCAGGAGCAGCAGGTGCAGCAGCAGCAGCAGCAGCTGCAGCAGCAGCAGCAGGAAGTTGAGCCTTTGATGCTGATCCCGCTGTGCGTGAGGGGCCACTGGCTGGACTTAGAAAAGTTTGCTTCATCTAGCAGCAGCAGCAGCAGCAGCAGCAGCAGCAGAATAGAAGAAGCAGAAACGGAGACAGATGGCTGGAGAATGTACAGCGACTGTCTGTCTCCTCTGCTGCAGCTGCAGCCCCTTAGCAGCACACGCCTATTAGCAGCAGTAAAGAGAGATATCAACAAAGACAAAGAAATATATATAAACAAAGACATGAATGTAGACACAACTTGTTCTTCACAGGGGTCTGCGCTGCTGCCGAGCAGCCCGCAGCAGCAACTGCAGCAGCTTCAGCAGCAACTGCAGCAGCAGCAGCATCAGCAAATACAGCAGCAGCAGCAGCAGCAGCAGCAGCGTGAAGATTCATTTTGCACCTGTGCTAAAAAGAGCGGGATGCTAGAAACGATTGACCTATGGCGTAAGTTCCGCTGAGGGTTTAGGGTTTAGGGTTTAGGGTTTTAATCGTAAACCCTTAAACCCTAAACCCTAAACCCTTCTATTGTCTCTGCGTTAATTGCCTTTTCCTTCTTTGTTTATTTTTAATAAACTAAATAAAGAGAGATAAAAAGAAATGAAGAGAGACAAACAGACATACAATAATATCAAAGGAGACACAAAGAGACAGCAGCAAAACAAAAAAACAAACGGAGACAAACAGAGACACAGCGAAACAGAAATGATACACACATATTTAAAAATA